TCATTCACTTACATAACACATATACGTATTGAATGCTATCATGTGCCAGGCACTGTGCCTTGTTGGTAAAGAAACTAAGATGGGTTTGGCATCATCTTTGTTCTTGTGCATCTTACACACAGTATCTTTAACCTTGTGTTGGACTTCTTTGAAATGATGACTAAGTAGTTGCTTGAGTAGAAAGTGAGCTCTTTATTTTCATATTGGGAGAGAAAACATGCCTACTCATGTCAAGTGCCTAGAGAATTCAAGGTTTTTGGTAGCCTTATATTCTGTCTTCATTTTAAGGTGTAAGATATGGAAAGGCAGATACTTAGTATTTTTTTAGTTTTGGATCACTTGATGGATCTGGTAGTCTCCAATGTCAGCTGGATGATGTTTAGTGACACTGGGTCAGGTGGACTGAGCTGCCACAGGACAGTGGCGTCAGTACGTCTTAAGGGTGGTTTGGGATATGACTTCCCAAGAACACAGGGCAGAATTCCAGAGGTTAATCCCTGAGAAGTAGAGTCAGAAGCAGGCAGAAATACTTGCTGGAGGTCCATGATGGTTCCTAAGAGGCAGGGTGGCATGGCGGATAAGACCTATGGCTCTGGAAGTAGATGGTTTGGATTTGAATCCTGGGTCTGCAGTCACTTGGGGCAAATCACTGAGTTTTTCTGTGCTGTGGTTTACTCATTTGTAAAATGAGGATGGGAACAACCACATGTTCCTCATATTGCCTTGATAAGATTAAATGAGATAATCCATGTGAAGCACTTAGGACAGTGGCTGGCACGTAGAGAGAGCTCAGCAGGTGGTGGTCATGGTGGTCTTACAGTGGTGAGTGTCAACATCCTTCCTCATCATCATGAATCTTATTGCCACCATGTCACAGTCACAAGGTTAATCTGCTGCAGGTAGGGTCAATAAGAGAGTAGTTGCACTGACTGTTGGATTGTAATTAGAGAAGTGAGGGAAAATTTCTTAATTGTTAATATGACAGCTTTGTACTCTACCCAGGATGTGCTCCACCAATGACTGTCGTCAGTAACTATGGGTTGGGAACTCTATCCAGCAGTCCTGTGGCAAAAGGTTAACAGCCCTTGAAAGTCCATAGCACTGGCTAGTCTTCTGTTAGCTCTCCCACAGGGAGGGAGGCAGACTTCCCTGCTGCTACTTGCCATTGTGTTTGCCTCCAGGGAATGGAAGTCACACATAATGCAGGTTCACTGAATGGGCTTCTCCCTCTTTGTTCCGTATCCCATAGCCTCTTTACCACACTTCTATCTCCACAGAGGGGCAGTGGGAATACAAGGGTTGGGAGAATGTACCTAATTCAGTGGTTCTCAAATGGGGGTAGTTTTGTCCCCCTCAGGATGTATGGTGATGTCTGGAGACATTTTTTGGTTGTCACAGCTGGGGAATTGGTACTGTAGAGACCAGGAATGCTGTCAAACTCCTTAAAATGCACAGGACACCTCCCACAACAAATGATGATCTGGCACACAGTGTCAATTGTGCTGAGGCTTAGAAACTCTGAATTAACCCACACTACAGGGCCAGGGCTTCTGTGTCTCGTTAACTACAGTTGCCAGTAGTAGTTCAATGCTGTGTTTAACAGATTCTAGTTGGTTAGTGGTCTGAATTAACCCACACTACAGGGCCAGGGCTTCTGTGTCTTGTTAACTACAGTTGCCAGTAGTAGTTCAATGCTGTGTTTAACAGATTCTAGTTGGTTAGTGGTACAGTCTCCAGACAAAGAGGCTGGAGATGGGGGAGGTTGATATCCTGTATCTGAGGAGTATTTCTTTAAACTGAACAGCCACCTCTCAGTGGCACAATTGCCCCCATCTGGCCTCTGACAATATTCAGAACTCTGGAGAGCCAGTTGATGCACTGGACTCGGTGACAGAGCAGAGCAGGTGACCGACTCCCACTGTCCATGCCAGCGCCAGACTGAGTCATGCTGACTGTGGGCTGCAGACCCCAGAGGAGCGTGATCTCATGGCCCTGTGGAGAAAGCGATAAGGATTTGCCTCACCAAGGAGGGATTTCTTTGAGAAGGCTGAGAGGATCTCCCAGAGGAAGGTTTTTATGTTTAACAGTTATGCAGTGCTTAAAAACCTCTTATAAAATTAACTCATTAATAATAAGGCCTCATAACAACCCCAAAGAAGGAAAGCTATTCATATCACTCCTTTCAGATAAGGAAATGGAATAGTAGAGCCAGGAACTCAAACCCAGAAAGTCTGGCTCCAATGTCCGGGCCCTCAGCCACTATGCTGTGGATGAAAGATTCTCAACTTCACACTTGGTGTCTTTTTTCTGGGTAGATCGTGAACCTCGGTTTTCTCATCTGTAAAATGCAGTCATACCCACTTCACAGGGAGGATGTGAAGATAAAACAGGGTTGCTTATATGTGTGCCTAGCATATAACAGGCATTCGGGAAATATTAGTTCCCTTCCACCTTCTTTGTTATAATCATAACTTTAACCCTATTGCTCCAATGCTGTGGCCAGCTTGTGTATGTTTCATAATTCTTTTATGAGATGGTCAGTCAGGTGTGACCGCAAAAGGAAACAGAGGAGAGAGGCTCATGGGGGAAAATAAAGTTGATTATACTCATAGGTTCTGGAGACAGGCATGGCACACCAAGGCAGGAAGGGCCACATGGGGAAGACACCAGGTTGGTCAGGAGGCAGAAGACAGGAGTGAGGGAAGGTTTAGGCTGCAGACTTTATGGAGATTTCTGTGGGAAAGGCAGAGAAGATGAACAGTTTAAGATGGGCTAGTTTGAATAATTTCGGTGGGGCTGTAGCTACAGGGGTGGTCCCTAGTTGCGTGGCACCTGGCTCTGGGATGATTAAGCACAGATGAACAGTTTAAGATGGGCTAGTTTGAATAATTTCGGCGGGGCTGTAGCTACAGGGGTGGTCCCTAGTTGCGTGGCACCTGGCTCTGGGATGATTAAGCAGAGGAATTTTGCCTCCTGGGGTACAGGGGCCAGATAATGAAATAAGGCTCTGGATTGGTTAGTTTGCTTATCAAAGACAATAATTTCGGTGGGGCTGTAGCTACAGGGGTGGTCCCTAGTTGCGTGGCACCTGGCTCTGGGATGATTAAGCAGAGGAATTTTGCCTCCTGGGGTACAGGGGCCAGATAAGGAAATAAGGCTCTGGATTGGTTAGTTTGCTTATCAAAGACAGGCTCCTGGGGCTGGGCCCTTAGTTATCTTTAAGAATTGGCTAGTCCTAGAGGGGCAGTCTCTCTGCAGCCAGAAAGGATTTTAAAGATGTTAAAACATAATATACAGAAATTTTTTAAAAAAAATTTGCAATACCTGTAGGTACCTATAGTTAAGATAAATACACACTGAATAGCAAAAAATGGGCCTAGTCAGGTATTTGTTAGAGTGAATGAATGAACAAGCTGCTGCAGATCTTGACATTGTAAAGACATCTAATGTTTGGTGTTGGGGTGAGATTATTCCAAGAACCAGACTTTCAGGATAGAAAGAACCAGGCTTTCAGAATAAAGATGTGGGTTTTGTTTCTGTTTATAGTTTTTAGTCTGCTCAAGTGATGCTGTCTGTAAACTACTAAGAATGCAACTCTGATGTTAATTACATACCTATGTTTCTATTCTCATGAAGTTTCTCTCTTCACCTGGCAAAGTGGGACAGCATGGATGCAGCTTTGCCAAGGTTCACTGGCTGTGGTCTGGGTTGGTGAATTGACTAGGTGTGTGTTTATTTCCCCGGCCGATCAGAGCATCTGCTCAGAAGCAACAATTTGCTCTGTTCCCAGCGGAATAGAAAGTGGCAACTTCATTTGTCTTAACTCAGGGCTTTTCTGTGTCCTTCTGCCCATACTGTACTTCTCCCCTGGCCTGCTCCCTATCCATAAATGGGTCTGGATCCTGTTGACACGGATGGCTATCCTGTTGTCCATCTGCTTTCTGACATTTACAAGTCAGTATGTCTTTCTTTCATTATGAATTTCCAGAGGAGAGGATCTAAGTTCATTGTGTGTGTGTGTGTGTGTGTGTGTGTGAATATCTTGAGTACAAACTGAAATGCTTGTGTAGGGGCGAAGACAGTGTTCCTGTAATTTATCCAGAGGGAAGTGCATTACTCTTTAACATACAGTCAGATGTGTAAGAAAGGGAATCAACTGTTAAATGTAAATAACATGAGAGAATATCCCCAGCATCTAAAACAATACTTGGAGGCCGGCCTGTGGCTCACTCGGGAGAGTGAGGTGCTGATAACACCAAGGCCACGGGTTTGGATCCTATATAGGGATGGCCGGTTTGCTCACTGGCTGAGCGTGGTGCTGACAACACCAAGTCAAGGGTTAAGATCCCCTTACCGGTCATCTTTTTTAAAAAAAAATAAAAATAAAAATAAAACAATACTTGGCATGTAGTAGTTGTTCAATAAATATTTGTAAATGAATGAATGACCCTAGTCTTTAAGTATTTTTCTAAATTTGATTATAGTCTGGGTTATCTAGCAAGCCTGGAAATCTAGAACTTTTATTAAGTACTCCCATGAGTAACCAACAGAAATAAACGTTTTTCAAAAAAAAAAAAATGGGACATGTTAGAGTACACAACACTAAAAATAACAATGATCTTGATCCAGAAGCTGCTTTGGGACCTTGCTGCATTTTTGAGTTGTGATTCTGTGTGTCAGTAACCATAGTACTGTAAGGAGGAGGAATTGAACACAGTGTTATGGTAGGATGCTAAGTAACAGTTTTCTCTACCAGTCAAGTAGCTGGAAATTTTATAATGTCATTCTTCACCAGACTTGCATTCTTCAACAGACTGGTTTGTTTAGTAGGGTCTGGGCCAGTTGAAGATGTCCCCTTTTATCTTTAAGATGTGCTTTGTTAGGACAGGTCTTTTGTGTCACTTGAGAAACATTTGAGAAGTATCATTCTCTGTATTAGAGAGAGAGCTGGACAGATAGAGGCCAAAGAATCTTAAAATTATCTGTGTTTTCTTTTACAGATCTAAAGAAGACTCTTGCTGTGCTATTGGATAACATTTTGCAGCGCATTGGCAAGTTAGAGTCAAAGGTGGACAATCTCGTTATCAATGGCACAGGAACAAACTCGACCAACTCCACCACAGCTGTTCCCAGCTTGGTAGCACTTGAGAAAATTAATGTGGCAGGTAAGAATGGCAGTTCTGAGCTCTAACCTGGAGTAAAATCCTGCTTTGGACTCAAACAAGGAGTACAGTGGTTTGTGTTGGTATAATATAAATTCCATAAACTTGGTATGGCCATTGTAAAGATAAGTTTAAATTTACTTTTGAACAACAGATGTTGAAACGTTTTTATCATCTCACCAGGATGTGTAGTGTCCGGTGGTCTCTGTGACACATTTGCACATAATGAGCTCCTGGAATTCAGTTCTAATGAGAAGATTCATAGCATGGATTAAATGAAATATAGAGGTTATCTGAGAAGTTCATGCCAATTAGAGTTCCTTCCTCCTTCCCACTGCCCTCAGACAATTTCAGCAGTCTGTTATACATAATAATTTCTTATCTTCTTGTTGTAGTAGAGCCACCATTGCAGAAAATGCCTCCTTTGTGTATATATAGAAATATAACTATTGGAAATGACATTTAGGAGATAAATGGCCCTCGCCTGATCCTGGCCAAATTCTGTAGCCACTTATGGATACCACCATGCAGTTCCCACTGGGATGCATTTTGTCTGGCATCCAAATGATTTTGGATTTGTTGAAACTGGAATCTTGGATGAGAGAAGGGAAATGGGTTAAAAACAAAACCCAGGGCCGGCCCGGTGGCGCACTGCGATAGTGCGCCGCTTGGGAAGCGTGGCGGCGCTCCCGCCAAGGGTTCGGATCCCACATACAGACCGGTTCCCGCTCACTGGCTGAGCGAGGCGCGGGAGCAACACCGAGGGTTGCGATCCCGTTGCCGGATAGTGCGCTGCTTGGGAAGCGCAGCGGCGCTCCCGCCAAGGGTTCGGATCCCACATACAGACCGGTTCCCGCTCACTGGCTGAGCGAGGCGCGGGAGCAACACCGAGGGTTGCGATTCCGTTGCCGGTCCCGGTCCGGTACGGGGGCGACACTGAGGGTTGCAATCCGTTGCCGGACACGGAAAAAGACAAAACAAACAAACAAAAAAAAAACAAACAAAACAAAACCCAACTTGTGCATAGCATATAATTGTCCACAGCCCACCTTAGGTCCCAAAAACCAAACAAAACAAAACCCAACTTGTGCATAGCATATAATTGTCCACAGCCCACCTTAGGTCCCCTCCCCCATCACACTGCCCTGGGCTTGGCTTCTGATCCTTATGCTTGAGCCAGGACTGCTCTTGTTAGGGTGTTGACTATTTCTTAGGGAGCCAGGACAAAACGAAGAACCTGAGGATTAGGATTAGGTTCTTTGGGTGAGTGTTTGTGAATGAGCTGTCTATACTTTTGGTGGATGGTAGCCAAACTCTGGTTGATGGATAAAGTAAGTAGCTGGGTTACTTTTGAAATTGCTAAAATCTAGTCTCATATACTTTATCTTGATCCCTTCTTTCTTGTTTAAAACAAAAAAAATACAGACCTATGTGGGAGAGATTCTTTTCCTTTCCTACCTCCTAGTGTCAAAACATGTAATTGTTTCATGTTCTACAAACTGGTTGTATTATCTTTTTATTACATTCTTTACCTTTTAGCAAGTTTTAAATTGCAAAATATATTTTTAATAATCCAAAGTATCTAACCAAAAGTATTAAAAATAACTCTTAATTATAGCACAGAGGCAATGTCATCTAGGCCATAAATCCTGTATTCCTTGCAGTTTCCAACAGCTTCTGTAATTAGACAAGAAAACCTCCCACTGTGTTGAGCTGCTTATTAATAAATGGAAGCCATGCCTCTCCAGTCTCCCCTCTCCCACACCTGTCCCCAGTAGCAAGTGCTGCTGGAAAGGTCCTATCTGATTTCATCAGTTTTCTGCATTATGTATTTCTGGAAATAGGGTGGGCTATGCTGCCTTTAACTTGATGCCTCTGTTCTGTAGGCTGGGGACCCATATAAACATGTTTGCTGTCCTTGTCTCCCCTAATAAGGGATCTTGCTGCCTTTGGCTGTCCTGTTTGTATGCCAGGCTCACAGAGAGAGATTTCCCTACCCAGGCTTCAAGTTGGAGGGCACAGGATCTTGGGCAAACTTCTAGGAATGAAATGGGAGAGACTCGATGGCTACTTCTTTCAGGCAGGATCTTAGTCCCATGTATTGAACTAGTTTACTCAATTAACATACATTTCTTGAGCATGTTCTCTAAGTGGAGCTTCTTTAAATGTGCCATTGGTGTTGTGATTTTAATAATATTAAAAAAGAATTTATTTTTCCTTTTTGTAAAATGGGAGCAAATTAGAGTTATGCCTGTAATAATTAACCTTATTAATTATAATTAACCTTATTAATTATCACACCTTTGTATCTTTTGTGGGTGTGGAATACACAATACCTACCACACTTTTATCGGTCCGTTAGGAAGATAATAAACATGTGTAAAATAACACAAACTATGGTTGCCATGAGGTGGAGATGACTGTGGAAGGCTTCCTGCAGGAAGATAAACTCTGAAGGTGGGTGGGATCGAGGCAGAGGAGACTTATGGAGGAGATGCAGGCTAGAAATGGATTATGACTCAGAAAAAACTAGGAGGGAAGGAGAAGAAACCGACATCTAGCCAGCCATCCAGTAAACATGAGTTACTCTTCCTGACTGTCCAAGATACCTGACTTCACTTAATCTTCTTAGCTTCCCTGAAAAGTAAATGACTTTACAGACTTTACTGAGTTTATGTACTGGGGGAGGGGAACCAGTGGTACTAGAATCCCCTGAGCTCAGCTTAAGACCTTCTAGCACCATGTAGAGAAGAGATTCTGAGGGTTTGCTCCATCTCTCCTGCTTTCATTTGTAAATCATCACAAAAGGATGAGTCTGTAAAAAGACCATTTTCTTAAAGTTTCCTGGAGAAGAAGAGCTGACAGTTTCCTGGGGTATTTAATAACCCATCTGATGAGGGAGTTCTCTGTCTGTCTGTTCCTTTGACTGGCCTTTATCAAAGCTGGCTTGTATGTGTGTGCAGATCCATCCTTTTCTTATGCACCATGTTGGCCACAGTGTATATAGATGTGTTGAGCATCCTCCTTTATTTCTCCCAGAGGCTGGAGGGTCCTTTATATCTTGTTAATTAACCAGTACATATTCTTTAACTATTTGTCATGTCTATAGATTAGGGTGCCAAAAAGAAAGATGAGGACTTCGATGGATGGTCCTTGTCCATGAGTGGCACTCTAACTGATTCATGGCTTTTCTGCCCTCTCTCCAAACATTGGAATGCTGTCGGTCCTCAGACTGCTCCTGTCATCTCAGGGAGCTGTGAGAAAGTTCATTTTTATGGGGTTCCAATGATTGTGGAGTGAAGTTTTTCCTTCTTCCCTCCTGCATTAAGCCATGTGGTAATTGCTCAGAAATGTTCTCCCTGGTGTGTTTTTACTGCTTACTCTGCTGTCTTATTGCTCACTGATGTTTCTGATTGCTTACTGTTGTGTCTTATTGCTCGCTGATATATCTTCTGGTTGGCTATAAACTGCCTCTAAATTGGGTACCATAACAGTTGAAGAAGGGTTCCCTAAATTTATTTTCTCTAAAGGGACAGCTGTGTGTGTGTGTGTGTGTGTGTGTATTTGTGTGTCTGCTTTCTTTTCTCTCTTCAGCTGTGGTCTCTATGGCTTTTATCCAAAATGGCTTTTCTTTCCAAATTTATACCACTTGGACTTTTTGTTAATGTAAAAGCAAAAGCACCTCCAGAGAAATTTAGGTGCCAATGAAGTTTATTAAAGTCAAGAATCAGATTGAACTGTATTTTTGAGTTCCGTTTATCTTGTCGAGATGAAGGGGAATGGAAGAAATGAAAAAGCAGATTTCAAAAAACCATAAAAGCAAAAGCACCTCCAGAGAAATTTAGGTGCCAATGAAGTTTATTAAAGTCAAGAATCAGATTGAACTGTATTTTTGAGCTCCGTTTATCTTGTCGAGATGAAGGGGAATGGAAGAAATGAAAAAGCAGATTTCAAAAAACCCCCACCCTTTCACCAATCACACTGTAAATTAATTTCTCCAGATTTATTCCCTGAAAAGGCATGAATGCTCCCTTGTCAAAATTATCTACTTTCAGAATGACGCTTTGTTTTTTAGAAAGACTGACTTCACCTTTCTCCACTTTTGTGATCTTAAATGACGGAGTCAATAGAATTGGGTCTGTAGTTTTTTGCCGTGCACCTGATATGGGGGAAAGGTAAAAAGTGTAGATATCTTATGAAAACGTTTGCCTTCTGAGGAGCAAGACAGTGTCTGATTTATCTTTGTTCTGCCTATAGTATCTTGTCCAAAGCCTCACCTGAAGATACCCAATAAGTACTGCTCACAGGGATTGTGTGATACTGGAGGGGACAGCAGTTGACTTCACCACCAGGAGTTTTTCCTCATGGTTCCTCTTCTCCATTTATACTTAATGGGTATTTTCTTGTAAGTATGACTAGGTATCTCAGACCTCAGCAGACACCACCTAAGAAGCATGACCTTTATTTTTTTTTTTTGGTCATGACTGAACTTTACATAGATGATTCTGTGCTGTGGAAGCTTTATGGAATATGATAGTTATAAATCTTGATAGTAATATTTTGGGGGATGGGAACATTGTGTACCTCTATAGGACAGTGTGTGTGTGCATGCGCACGCATGCACACCCTCATATATGCTCTTATTTATACTCAGTAACTAGTTGTCATTCAACAGCAGCTGAATAACTGGCCAGTGTTGACTATTAGCTAAAAGCTGAAATGTAATGATAGCGTCTGCTTTGTTTTATGATCACTTACAGTTGCAAGGTCAATTGGGAGACACAAGCACAAAATCGAAGGTGCAGTTAAAACTCAACGGCCTGTTTTCTGGTATTTAGTCCAAATTGAATGTTAGGCAGCCCTCCATTTTTCAAATGTCAGCTGCATGAAACATGTTCTAGTATTTCGGATTGAAGTACAGTATATTTGGACTTGGATGCTGTTCTTACAAACAATAACCATAATTATTATTATTATTACCATTTGAAAATTGAAAACTGTCC